ATATATTTGTACCGTTTTGCTATCTGTTTTGTAGAGGGAATAGGTCTGTAGTTTGCTAAGCTTTCAAGGTTCAGATCTTCCTAATTTTCTCACAAATAATCACACCAAAAATAGCTCAAGAAATGATTAATAGGAAGCTCCAGTTTCTTATTATTGCTGACTTGATGTAATTACTGCATGTTTCTTTACACTCAGATATCCATGCATGCATAGAAAAGCCTTACACCTCCCCTCACAAAAAATAAAATTACAGTAACTCCTGCAGTCAGATTGAACATAATAGGATTATCTTTTCAATCTATTCACTGAGTGCCTCCATGCATGCTTCTTCAAATCAATAGTTATACTTACTAAGGAACTGTAAAATGCATAGCAATTAAGAACAAGGGAAAAAAAACCACTTAAAACACTATGTGCTTTTGAAGTTTATTTTCAGTAAACAAAGTCTTCCTTTACTCTGGAAAAAAAAAAAAAAGGAAGAACACATTATATTTTAATGCTACAAAACCCGAAAAAATTGGATTTTCTGAGGAATCCAAGGAGATCAGGCACCTACTCCCTTAAGCTCCTTTGAAAATTGTAGCATTTATCTTCAGAAGTGCTTACAGCCAGCTGGAGAGGGGCTGGCGGAGGATCCCATCAGGATTTCGTAACCCTGAAGTCATGTAAATTGTATCACCCTCTTCATTTGCTGGAGCTTTTAAGTAACCTAGCAGCGTTCCTGCCGCAACAATCACAAGTGTAGCCCAGCATGCCCCACATGACGGGGGGCCAGGACAGCCCATTCTGAGCTTCAGAAAGGGGAGGGGAAGGAAGAGAGCAGAATTGCCCGGGATGCAGTCCCTCACCCCGAGGGGACGGCCAGGGCAGAGGAGGGGGAACTGCCTCCATGGGCTCCTCTGCCGGGAGTCCCTGAGCGGGGGGACAGAGATGGACATGGGAAAGGGTTGGGTGCCGCCTTCTGCCAAGCTGAGGGGATTCACTGGGAGGCTTAACCATGTTCTTCTGTGACCTGAAACCAGGCACGGCCAAGGACGGACTTGCCCCAGCCCCGGCAGCCTGGGCAGCCCCGCCGGGGAGGGCACCCGGAGCCCCCGGGAGCTGCGGGGCTGGGGGGACTGAGGCGGGGCTGAGGGAGCGGGGCACGACAGCCCTAACCTGTCCCTTTCGAGGGTAATGCTGTGTTAACACAAAACAGAGCTGGGGTTGGGACTGACGGTTGTTTAGCACTGCTGGGGAAAAACTAACTGTCCCAAGGATCAGTTGGTTCACACCCACTGAAAGATGGGAAACGGAAAGGAAGGCAGCAGCCCAGACGGCTGGAAGGGAAAACAAGAAGATGAAAATCATAAACCATGGGCTGTGAGAGACTCTTCTGTCCTAGTCTTATTCCTGGCGATAAGCTGATTGCAGTTCTTTCCCAAGACCATTCCTACCCCACCAGAAGTCAGAAGCCAATGTTCTGGTTTTTCCTTAGAGATTTGAACCAAATATATTAAACAGAACATCTTGCTTAGACACAATCTCATCACTCAGAGTAAGGCTTTCAAAAATTGTAGTTTGAAAGAGGCACAGTAAATGCTACTAATACATTTGTTTTGTTAAACAAATGGAGACGTGTGAAAAAAATTAAAACTGGTTCTTGTACAGAAATGCTATATGTTTGCAAAGGTTTATGAACACTGACTGAATTTGTTTTTATAGCTCAGAAGCCACCAACTGTTCCCCTCAAAGTCTGGGTATCTTTGTTCTGTGTCTGTATGGATGGAAAGATGAATTTTCCAATCCATGACTTGCATTTTAGCATCAAAGAGCTAAATAGTAAATAATGCAATACAGAAATACATACACTTTCAAACTTGAAGAAGTGTATTGAGCTTATGTCTCAAAAGGTAAGAATAATAACTGATCTTATATTAAAGGTCCAGTCCTTCTACAAAACAGGCTGTATTCAATCCCCAAAGAAACAAGTTCAATAAACATATATGTACTAACCACTGCATGCTAAAAACAGACAAGTCAAGCACAGAGAGCTCCTTTCATGCATCATTTTTGATTGTCCTACTTTGCTCTGTCAGGAACAGCAGTGACAGCTTAAGTGTTAAAGCTTTTTGACATTGCAACAAACCAAATAAAGCCTAGTTGCACATTCTGGAATTTATTTTATGGTACATCTAAAATATAAACAATATAGGGAGTTTTCATCGTTCTCAAACAATAGCAGCCACTGGTGACTGTTTTGCTCACATGAGGATTCTCGCTTGCTGAGCAGCAGAAGCATGTTTGATAGCCAGCTCCAGGAGCCAGGCTGGCCAACACAATTATTGCACATTCTGTCAGCACATTTCCTCCCTTCAGCTTTACTTCTCCAATCTTTTTCAATATTGTTAAAATGAGCAATCATTCGTGATTCACACTCCGAAAAAAGGCAGAAACCAACAATTCCCAATGGCTATAAATTATTAATGCAATTGTGCCAATCACACAGAGCTTAGTGCTTTTAAAAATGGAATGAGATTATCTGCACAGTTATTTTCAATCAGATTCATCTCTTATTAGGGGACATTATGCATATGGCTTGCTTTCAGAAAGCCATCTTCTTTAAAAAAGATTATTGCACAGTCATTTCTTGTGAAATACTATGCAAGCTCTACACTTAGATACCAAATCAATTTTTTGTTTCAGGAAATAATTGTATGTAATGGGTATTTTATTTTGTAGATAGACTGATTCTTTCCCGTGTAAAAGCCTGCTCTGTTCTCAGTTGTTACTCCCATTCAAACCATCCCTGCTTTGAGTTGCTTCTGATGTACACAAGTCTAGCAAATATATAGGCAGAACTGGTGGCTGTGGTACAGCTTTATTTTTCTGCAATAGCTTTAACAGACTGTAATAGAAAAGTTTGTCAGAGTTCCTGTGCAATGTATCTGTTAAAATATAGCTGGGGCATATAGCTGTCTCAAAAAATACAAGATAGAAAATCTTCCTCTTTGGTATACAAAAAAAACTAAAAAAAAAAAATTAGAGCAATAGGGATTCAAATGATATAAAGATCAAGTTTTTGGAATCCTGAAGGTGGTCTTTCCTTGTATGTTCTCTCTGACAAATGCTGTTCAAACATTTGTTAGATTTTGGGCTCTGTGTTGCCAGGGCCTGGACTAGAGGCCATGTGGAATAGCGAAAATGTACTGGAGACACAGAATTTTATATTTACTGATGCACTTTATAAGAGGTTTGTAAAATTGTCCTTTTACTCCCAACTCCATGTGACATACTCAGGTTATCCCAACACCATGACATGGTGGCTGGCAATACACCAAATGCAAAGAAACTGCAACCAAATCCAGAGGTGCCTCAAGCTGCAGGAGTAGGAGTATTCCCTTGGGAATAACTGGCTAGCAAGGTGGAATCTGACCTGCATTAAATTAAGATAGTTTGGGAGCTGAAATACTGAAATCACAAGGTTAAAGAGACTGATTCAGAGCACATAAGCATGTTCAATGTAAAGCAACTTGCTTGGATGTGTTCTGAGTCATCCAAACCAGCAGCAGTGGACCCCAGACACGCTTCACCACCTCACTCAACCTCGGCCAAAACACAGCTCTCCCTTTCCAAACCCCTTGCTTCCTACTCCACTCATTACATTATTTTATCTCTTGTATTGACAGAAGAAGAGATCTTTAAAGCACTGAGCTGCCAGCATGCTGCAGCAGCACTCTGCTATACTATTTTCCGTGTTTCAGCCCAAGTCCTGGCAGTGCTGGGATTGAACACATCTCCTGCAGTCTGGGGAGCTGCCTGGCTCCTGCGGTCATATGCCATGGTGCCATTTAACAACACGGATTCCCATCTGCCAATTCCCTCGCTGGCATTTGGCTTGTACTTTATTTTTCCCAGCCAGAAGTCTGGCAATAGTTTCTCTCTATTATTCTGATAAGAGTGGGGGTCAAACTCATTCCGCTGTGAATGTGCATTTGGACTCGCAGAGAGTGAGGCATTGATTGGTATCAGGCAGAAGTGGTGTCTCCTGTTACATTTCTGGCATGTTATTCTGGGGTTAATCAGTGCTCCTGAGTGTCACTCAAAACTACCAGATGTGACTCTAATGGAGAGCTGCTAGTTGCCTGATGTCTATTTTATCACTAATGTGACTAGAGTACTCAAAAAAGTTTTTTTTTAAAAAAAAAAGGAAAAAAAGGGGAAAAAAAGAATACATAGCTTAGCAAGTATGAGGAAACTCTATTTAGAAAGTGGCTCTATTTGTAGATATCTGCTTTTAAGTATTCAGTCAACTGATTTTTTCAATATTAATTAATCACAAGACTATCTGCACTTGTTTTATCAGGAAAGATTCATGCAAAAGAGTACTTAGGATTTTTTATATGTCCTGTAGGGGGTAAAAGGCTGTTATTATTAATTTAACTATTTCAATTCTTAAAAGTTCTCAAACACATGCATTATGAATAATCTCCACCAAAAACACCACAGAAATTTCTATCATGACTATGCCTTTTAGGCTGAAGCAGAGTCCCATTGAAGTAAACAGTGCCATGAAGACAGAAAGACAGATTGTTTTCCCCCAAAAGGAGCTTAAAAATCAGTCATAATGAAGGACTGAAATTATTTTCATTTAATTACAAACCCCAAATCCATCCAGCTCTAGATCCAGTATGAATCAAAAACTGAAACTTGAGATATCCCAAGACTCCTTTTCCATTCTGGTTCATATCCGAGATTGGCTCTAGAATTACCAGATGTTTGACAACCAGCAGACTGGAACCTCCAGTTTGTATTTGTGATATGTGCTTAGATTAAGCAAATTGCAGACATTTAAATAGAGGGATACTTATTCAAATATCATCTTTAGCAGTGGCTCCAGTTCCACTGGATCTAGACTTTATTTATGGATCCAAACAGAGCTGATACAAATTTTTTAACCAAAGCTCAACTATCTCATTGTTGTTTCAGATTGCATTATACTGATGTTTACTTACCATGTAAACAAACTTTTACTGTGTTTTTGCCAGCTTTTCCTCCTCATCCATTCACTCCAGTAATGTTATTTCTTTCAGCAGGCTTTGGCTTCAGAAAGCCTGCCTGTCATTTGAAAATAAAAGTAAAATGTGTAACACTTGCAGCCACACTCTGTTCATCCTATTCAGTTTTACCAGAACCAACAAGGTCACCTAAGGATGCCTGGAACTGAGTAGGGCAAAGAAACAACTCACATGTCCTGAGGCCTGGCAGAGAGCAAGTTTCAAAACTGCCTCCACATCTTAGAGTTTTAAACTATGAAACACATATTTGGAATAAATAAATCTCAAAGTTTCAGGGAGAACTTGGGAGGTGAGCTTGATTCAGGAATTGCCATTTTTTTGTCTGGCTTCATTTTATTTTCTGCCCTGAATTTTAATAGGGTAGAATTGATTAATGTTAGTTTCTGAAATAGAAATTGAATCTAAAATTGAATTCTCTTGAAAGTTCCAGGGTATGTTCTTGTCATAATGCAAATCTTTAGCTGCTGATGGCAGCTGAAGTTATCTTCAAATCTATTCCCAACCTGGAGATTAAAACAGTGCACATGGAGAACATCAAGAAGGCAGTTTTTCTAAGCATCATCTTCAAATACTTTGTAATTTTAATTTTTAAGCAAACTCTAACTTCAACAAAGCATGAATTATAAACCTTGCAATGAGAATGGAGATGGTAACTGTCTTTCATTTTGCTCTCTGAGTGAACAAGACCCTTTCCCTTCTGACATCTTAGAAAATATTGATATATATTTAATGAAAAGCACAATTTGACCTTAATTCACTGACCTAAAACATTTATATGCCTTTGTTCCTTTTAATTTTCAGTGAATATGATGTAGTGTCCTAAACACACCCCCAAAGAGCACTATCGAAGCACGTTTCATAAAATAGAAGGTAAGTTGATTTTTTGGCACTTTTCTGATGGGTTCTGATGGGCTTTTCACATTGCCCAGATATCATTTAAAGATAACATGTTAAAGAAGAATTCTGAGGAAGAAAATCCACCCTTACCATTACCATATCTTCCTTCAACTGAATTAATAATACTGAGAAAGGTAGAGAAATTATGGGTTATTCTGAGGGCTCAGAATTCTGCAGATATCATGTTTTCAGCTCCTTACACATTTAATATGTGTAAATGTGTGCCTGTGTCTGTACATATGCACACAACACAGTCCACAGTTTTTCACTTGTGAATTCCTTGCACCATAAACAGACAAGTCATCATAAGCTGTAGCTTTAATAATTCCTTGTCAGCAAATGTAGCACAGAAACTCAGCCAGGAGTACACTGGATACAGATAACATTGGTAATGCCAACAAAAAGGATCTAGCTAGATGTGATTATTTTTCTTTTTTTTTAAAAGAGCAGTTTAGCAGTAAGGATATTTATAGTTCTGGGAGCATAGGAGAAACATGAAGTTAAACTTAGAAAGTCAAAGGGATCAGTTAAGAAGAGGTAAGGGAAATACAGCTGTTATAACTGAGTCTCTCACCAAGGCAATGATCACCTCTATGAGGTGCATTGCAATCCTCTCTTATACATGCTAGAAAAATGGAACACTGAACAGGAGAATTTGAAACTGCTTAAACCTCTATAAAGGGGCTAAACAAAACATCACAGAGCTGACTTCATCCCATTATGAATTTAGGGAAACAACACTTCCACTCTGTTTATCAATTTACCCAGCCCTGCCTATGCTGTAACAGCAGTTCTACAGAACTTAATTAACTGGTACCTATAAAGTACTGCAAAGTTTAATATTAAAGTGGCTAAGCAAGTGCAAACTATTACTATTTTTAATATGGAGACCTGTTCCTCAGAAAGAGATAGAGTCTTACTGCACACTAAGGAATGGCTTAGGCCCAAAAAAAACCCAGTGAAGATAAAACAAACAGAAACAAAACTCATAGTTTTAATTGGGGTCTCTCTTAGTTTAAAAACTATGAAGGGAAAACTAGGTGAAGAGATCAAGAATAAAAAAAAAGAGTAGCAACCATTTTTTCCTGTATTTAATATTCTTAAGTGCAACTAAAATACAAAGTAGGAAAGCAGCAAATTCTAAAGATAAAATGCAAAGGTTTGCAAGTGTTTGTCTATCAAACCAATTCCCTTCACATTAGTGTTTGGAAACCTTTTCCATGCTCTTGGGTGTGGTCATTAGCAGTAAATGAGTTGGCACAAGTGACACAAACTTGCTGTGGGGAACTGCACAGTGTTGGTGCCACTGCGCTGGGTACTGCTGGCACTGCCAGGGGGCAGGTCCTTCTCTAATTTTCAGCAGGCTCTGGTCCTCACAGGGAAGGGGACCATTACAGCAGCCTGTCCAGTGAACATGTAAGAGGGTGTTAACAACACATCTCTCCGGGAGAACACAGGGGATCCTCTCCCATTGTCTCAGCAGTGACAGCAATGAGCGCGGGCTCCCAGACGAGCTCGCTGGGAGACAGGAACCTTCTGCACTGCAGCTGCTTTAAGCCTCAGCCCTTAATGGCTTTCTGACAAACCTTTGGTTGTCTCTTCAGTAGCAAGCAGACATGCCCTTTCAAATTCCCACTTTATTTTTAACATCTTCATCCCAAGCTGGCACGCTCTTTGCACACATTTTTCCTGTGTATACATTCACATCACACACACACAAACAACAACCTGCTCTAATAAATACCTTTGAGCACCTTCAAACCACTTGTCTGTTGCATCTTTTTTCCTTCTTGGACAGCTGATCAAGCAAAGGAATATAAACTCTTTTTTTTTTTTTTTTGACACACAATACTAATAATGAGATTTCAAAACACGTCTAAGGATGGAAATGCATTACTGAGGTTGACTTATCTCCTAAAGCTGTGCTGTGATTTGGTCACTGCATTTATCTCTGTCTCAAGAAAGCTGGTGGTCTCTCATGTCAGAGAAGACACAGATGCTTTTATAGCTCAATAAGTGCTTTGTTCCTTAGGATGCTCGAAGTCCAGAAAGGCATGATGAAAATCTTCCACAATGCAAGAAGGCTGCTGGGCTGTGTGGTAATGCTGCCAACACAGTGTCACTGTGGCAGTGCCTTTTTAAGTGTTCTTTATGCTCGTATTTGCACATCTGCACTCTGATAATCCCACCTGCTAGAGCTGGTTGTTCACTTTCTTACACTCTCTCTAAATTACACTCAAAAGGCACTGGGTGCTGGGGGACTGTGTGTGTTAAACTGCTGCCCTTGAATGTTGCCCAGCAGAGCTACACATGGCAAAGTGGGCATGTTGGAAAGATGTGTTGCAATTAGGAAGTGTGGGCAAGGAATTTCTTAATCTAACACCCAGAATTCTTCAGCCCCATCATGTTTATGGCTAAAAGTTCTTTTGGGTCTAGCAGTCCAACAGTGAATGAGATAGAAGGTTTGCTGAGTAATCCCAGGTACTGGTAGAAGCATATCACAAACCTGCCTCAAGCCGTGCTTTGGAATAAAATGCAATGAAATTATAAGAAATATTTTTATTTATTATGTTCTTACTACAATTAAGCACCTGAATGAAAGAACTTATCTTAGAAGGAATGTGTTTTTCATTCACTAAACTGAAGTGGCTTATAAGTCTCCTGATCTCACTGTTGAGCACTAGTTTTTACAACATTAGTTTTTCAACAACACAGTCCTAGAAAACTAGTAGATATAGCTGCCTACTAGCCCCTTCAAATCATTAACTTCATCCCTTCTATTTCTCCACATGCCACTATCATCATACATGAGCACGAGCAGCATTTCTAAATGTCATTTGGCTTAGTATGAAGGCCTACTAGTAAGGAGATAATGCTGGCACTTCAAAAAAAAAGCAGAAAGAAAGCACAAAACAAAAAACTCTCAAAACACATACACCTGACAGCATTTTGCCCACACCTGAAATTAATTAGATGGTCTGAAAAACAAAACTCCAACAAAAGATGAAAAGTGAAACACAACACTGCAAGAATTTCTCCCACTCCTGGGACCAGTATTTTTTTAGATTTGTTGATTGTCAGATTACAGAAATAAAAGAGATATGAAAAATAATGCAGGAAAAACACACATCAGCCACATTTTTCAAAGTGCTCAGGCACTGAAACAAGCATCCAGATGCTCTTGCTCTGTTCACATCTTAATTAGCGATGATTAGTCAGTAATCTGGAATCTTAAAAGTATCACGTATGACATCAGGTTATTTCCACTTTTGACTGGTCTCTAAGTGCTCACTTAGACTGATTTAAAAAAAACTCCAACCTTTCAGCTGCCTAGGTAACACATTTTCTGATGTTCATTGCTAAATTTTAGATAATATTTCTCAAGAGGCCTTATGTAATTAAAAAGGTTTTAATCACTAATATCCTGTGGAGAAGGAAGGCTGTTGATGATGTGCCAGAGTGTGCTCAGGACTGGATTGAACGTAAAGGAAGCTCCTGATCCTCCTCAGGGTGTTCCCTCCTGCACACTCAGACCACCTTACCCAGCAAAGCAGGCAGTGCTGGGCAGAAATTACATCACAGTCTACAAGTTCTCCTGATTTAATAAAAAAATGACCTCCTGCTAGATCACATCTCCTGCTGTCTGTTCAGCTCCCTGTTAGCACCCCATTCCCTGAGCACCCGGCCATCACTGCCACAGCACCAGGTGCTTCACAGTCACCCAGGGATTTCTTTCTCCGGACTTACACTCCATTTAGCAAGCCAATATTCCTCATTTTCAGTAGGAGAATTGAAATGGCAAAAAGTCTGAGATGAAATTGGAGGTTCAATCCTGCCTCCCAGGCTCAGTGCACAGTGCTAGTCCCTGGTCCAGCCCCACCCGGTGTCCTCTCGTGCTGTAAGGAGAGGACAGCACATGAGATCACTCCCTGGCTGAGATGAACTGGAGAGGGCTGCTCTCAGAACATCCTGCAGGAAGGTTTTTCCACAGTTCTGCCACCTCCTAAATCATGTCAATGCACAGAACATTCTGAGAACCTTCTGTTTCAGGAAGTTTGTAATCACCTGCAGTACATGAACGCAGAAAGAAAATGTATTTCCTCTGTTAGGAACAGTAGTAATGTCTTAATTCCACAAGTAAAT